CAATAGAATGAGATTTTTATACGCTATTATACTATACCAGAGTTGCTATTTGGCTTGAAACTGGTGTGAACATGGATTGATTTTCTTAGACGATAAGTTTTTTTTGAAGTATAAGAGAACCAAGAAATTGGTAATAAAGTAAAATCAACTTACTGAGATTTACAATTTTTTTTACCAATACACTGTTTAAAAATAATATATTCATGGTATTCGATCAAACTGAAATTTAAGGTTAACTTAATTCCAAAAAATCCATAATTAAACTAATGCCAAGAGCAATCAATCTAAATCACGAGTTATTATGAATATTATGCGATGAATCAGCATAATTTCTACTCAAACAGCAAGATTCTCTCACTTTATAAATCACAAATCAGAACCAAGCTCAATTCGATCCATTTTCACCCATATCAACCCATCAACTCGGTTCTATGCTATATAAAACACACATAAATTATTAGCAAATCACACAAATATGTGCAAACTTTTTTTCTGAAAAAAAAAATTGCGCGAAAAACATTATTTCAATTGAATGATTCTGGGGAAAAATGTCGTAATTGCATTTTGTTCTTTTACTTGTTATAACTCTAAAACTATAGAAGATAACATAGACATATTATACATCGTTGGAATTGACATCCAAAGAGCTAATTAATTATGCTATTTTTGAACCGGTTCAATAGGTTTAAACGGTTTAAAAACCGGTTCAAAGTTGAAAAACTAAGAAATTGAATATCTTTTTCAATACTTAATCAAAGGCTTTGATTTTTAGCTCATTTTGTAGCCTTTAGAAATGCTCACAACTTGTTGGAGCTAGATTTTTGATTATCGACCTGTGACGTCATTTATGAGCCATTTGTGTCGAAACTTTGACAGCTTATTTCTCAGCAACTACATATGATACAATAATGATATATATCTTAAAAATTTCCAATTTTCCTATAAATTAATGAACATTAAAAATTAGTGGGATTTGTGAATAAGTTTTGTCAAAAAATGATAAAACCTTAAAACATTAAAACCCTTATGAACCTATTTTACCTTTATTTGATATTTATCTTTCAGATATGGAAAAAATTCTTATCACAATAAAAAGAACTTTTAATTTCCTTTGAAATGATATGTAACATGCTTGGGGTTTATCAGTAAATGACGTCTAAAAATTTTTATTGTTTTTTAATGATTTTTGTACCTATTTCTCACTATTTCTATTTAATTTTAGTCTTCTATTCCACTTTCTTCTATTTTTTCACATTTTTCATCGAAATAAAAGTAAATATTGCCATTTCATCAAAAAATACTAATGATTTATTAAGTAGCAAAACTTCAATAACAAATAGTTGAATGCACATTTAATAAATCATTAGTATTTTTTGATGAAATGGCAATATTTACTTTTATTTCTATGAAAAATGTGAAAAAATAGAAGAAAGTGGAATAGAAGACTAAAACTAAATGGAAAAAGGTACAAAAATCATTAGAAAACAATAAAAAAAATTTAGACGTCATTTACTGATAAACCCCAAGCATGTTATATATCATTTTAAAGGAAATTAAAAGCTCTTTTAATGCAATAAGAATTTTTTTCCGTATTTGAAAGATAAGTATCAAATAAAGGTAAAATAGTGTTCAAAACATTTTAATGTTTTACGGTTTTATCATTTTTTGACAAAACTTATTCACAAATCCTACAAATTATTAATGTTCTTTAATTTATAAGAAAATTGAAAATTTTTAAGGTACATATCATTATTGTATCATATGTAGTTGCTGAGAAATAAGCTGTCAAAGTTTCGACACAAATGGCTCATAAATGACGTCACAGGTCGATAATCAAAAATCTAGCTCCAACAAGTTGTGAGCATTTCTAAAGGCTACAAAATGAGCTAAAAATCAAAGCCTTTGATTAAGTATTGAAAAAGATATTCAATTTCTTAGTTTTTCAACTTTGAACCGGTTTTTAAACCGTTTAAACCTATTGAACCGGTTCAAAAATAGCATAATTAATTAGCTCTTTGGATGTCAATTCCAACGATGTTTAATATGTCTATGTTATCTTCTATAGTTTTAGAGTTATAACAAGTAAAAGAAGCAAATGCAATTACGACATTTTGCCCCAGAATCATTCAATTTTTCATGTAGTGATTCTGAATCAGTTTTCAATTTCTATGATAATTGTAGTGAATATAAGTAAAAAAAAAAGAATCTAATTTCACTTATTAAAATGAAAAGAAATAGTAATTAATAAAAATATAAAGAAACATTTCTTGGCTTTTAAATGAATTTTTGATATCTATAATTTCCAATGAATCCAGAAAAAAATGTAAGGTCGTGTTCAATTGTTCTTAAAAAATAAATATTAATAAAAAATGTAAAATAAATTACTTTTTTTGGTCAATATTGCAGCGAGATTTTATATTGACAGCTGAACGAATGAGAGTTTTAAGGAAGCAAAAAAAAAATGATAATGAACACTGATAACATGTTGATGTATAAGATATAAGAATTATAAAAACCCTTTAAGCATAAAAAAGATGATAAAATGAGATCTAAAAAACCCTAATGTTATATAATTAACAGCAGCACTTTGCATGGACCACACTCAATATACGTTGATTGCATGTTTATCAAATTATCATATTGATTGCGATTACTCGTATGGTTTTATTTGGCATATTTCAAGATAACAAATAAAAAAAATTTGTGCGACCTTATTGCAGAACTAAATTTATTCACAAGACATAAATACTTATGTTTTCAGTTCCGAATTATTTCAACAAATTTACTAAAATTTGTACTTAATAATTGTAATGAGATAAAATTCATTTAATGAAATTTAATAAAGGTAAACATTAATTTAATTAAACAATAATTGAGTTTTATTTCTTTATAGATTTTCAGGAAATTACTAATCGTTTCATATTCACACAAAATTTTCAATTTTTGTGACTATATTGTTTTTGGTTTTTTTGGAAAATCTGTTTTTTTAACTTTCTGCTTCAGGCTTACGAATCAACCCAAATACCCAATATGTAAAAGTTTGTGCCTCGAAATATTTATCTAATGGTGAAAACAATTTTTCATTTGGCAGTTCCAGTTCCGAGAAATCGCAAAAAAAGGCATTCTGATAGTTAATCGGTGCGATAACTCGATTCAAACTCAATATTAAGACTTCCGGTTTTTTGCTTCTGATAGATAATGGCTATCGCAAGAACTGTATTGTTTTTGATGCCATAAGATGCTTCCAGTAGTTTGATATTAATAAAATGGTTGTGACAGTAACCCTTAAGTTAAATGTATGTGAAAAAATGTTGGAACTAGCGAGTTCCTTCACAAGATTCAGCTTACTGGATCTATGTTATTGAATACATACTTTACTTGTATCACAATGGAACAAATTTTTTTGGTTCCAGCATTGATTTTTTTCTTGCTGTATACTTACTGGATCTTGGTTCCAACGATAGCATAATTTCAATTTTAGTGGACTGGATTTAATTTTTAATGACAAATTAAATTATTTAACCAATTTTTCACAATGATCTCTCAATTTCAACAAATTGTCAAACTTCACTAAGAACTTTTTCTTATTTCTTAATTATAAAAAAAATTTAAATTGAAATTGTCAAAGCCCACTTAGAACTTTTTCTCAAATTTTACTGGATCATGGTTTTAAGTTTCAGACATGATTAAAATTTACTGGATCTTGGTTCCAAGTTTTAGACATGCTTAAAACTTTACTGGATCATGAAAATTTGTTGCAGACAAGATTAAAACTTTACAGGATCTTTTCTCCAAGTTTCAGACATGCTTAAAACTTTACTGAATTATAATAATTTGTTGCAGACATGATTAAAACTTTACTGGATTTTGTTTTCAAGCTTCAGATATGATTAAAACTTAACTGGATCTTGGTTTATTGCTTCAGACATGATCAAACCTTTAATGGATCTTGTTTTTAAACCTCAGACATGATTAAAACTTAACTATATCTAGGTTTATTGTTTCAGACTTGATTAAAACTTTCTGGATCTTGGTTTTAAGTTTCAGCCATGATTAAAGCTTTACTGGATCTTGGTAATTTGGTGCAGACATGATTAAAACTTTACTGGATCTTGGTTTTAAGTTTCAGACATGATTAAAACTTTAATGGATCTTGATTCCAAATATCAGACATGATAAAAACTTTACTGGATATTTTTAATTTGTTGCAGCCATGATTAAAACTTTACTTTATCTCGGTTTTAAGTTTCAGACATTCTTAAAACTTTACTGGATCTTGGTAATTTGGTGCAGACATGATTAAAACTTTACTAGATCTTGGTTTTAAGTTTCAGCCATGATTAAAGCTTTACTGGATCTTGGCTCCAAGTTTCAAAAATAATTAAAATTTTATAAGATCTTGGTTCCAAGATTCAGACATAATTAAAATTTTACAGACTCTTGGTTTTGAGTTCTAGACATGGATAATTTTTGATTCTTGGTCGATACATTTAAAAACCCAGTACGATCTGTAACTTATAAACCTACTGTAATCTATAAACAGTTGAACGTAACGAAAACGTGTTTTTAATGAGTGGTATACTTTGTTGATAATACAGCAAAATGCTGATATTAAGTCTTACATTTTATTGAGAGAAGATTTTTCAAAATTTTCTGAACAATACATAGAGAGTTCTATAGGATTGTGTGAATATAGACCAAGCATCAACATTAGGTAGTTGCTCATTACAACGGTTGTTCATTAATGAATGATTTGTAAATAAATTCTTTGAGTCTGGTTTTAAATGAACTTATAGAGCTTGCATTTCTTATGAAGTTTGTAATATTATTGTAACTTACAAGGGCACGAATGTTAAAGTTTTGAGCGCCTAAATGAGTGTTAGTGGCTTCTATAGCAAAGTTGCTGCGATTTCTTGCACGGAAATTGTGTATTTGACTCATTGTTCTAATCATGACATTATTTTTACAACAATTGTTAATGATTTTAAATAAAAGAGAATACTCGCACAGTTTTGAGACTGGGAGGCAGCTGATGGAATAAAGTTCAGTTTTACTTGAGTACCAATCTTTTTGTAGGACTATTCGTAATGCTTTACGCTGGATTATTTCCAATGCCTGAATGAGATAATTTGGAGCAGCTTGATATACTACACTCATGTACATTATTCTACTCTGAACATACGAATGTTACATAACTTTAATTAATTTGCTTTGCACATATTGTTTATAAATCACATTTAGTATGAATTATTCTTTTCGATTTAACGGGTTTTTCATATTTGAATCAATTTTGTCATCTTAGAAATTGATGTGTAAATAATATGTAACGCCATCTGTGAATAAAAAGAATAACTTTGGATGACTAATAACAAGGAATGAAATGTTCTTTTTTTTGTGATGTGCAAGTTATTTCATGACGTTCTCCCTAACAGCATTACTGCTAAGTTTCAGGTGTTTTCTAAATTTTAAGTAAAATACATCAGCTGGATCTTTTCAGACAGCACGTTAAGGAACATTTATCTGCATTTATCAATAGGTTTCTTTCTATAAGTTGTGCTTTACAGGATATAAAGCAAAACTGGATCTTGATTTTTATTCCATTTAAGGATCTTGATTCAATTTTTCAGGTATATTTATTAACGGCTTCCTGCTTTATCCTGAAAATGACAAAATTAATAAGCATGTTTTCACTTTTTAACGATTTCCTTACTTTTCACAATTTTTGCGCATCTTGATCGATTTTAAAGCACCTGATGTGCTTGTATAGCAATAAACTTTTAATTCTAAGGAACTTTATGCTTCTTTTCAAGCATAAAAAAATTCAATTTAATTAATTTGTTGTGCATTAATAAAATTACACGTTTCTTATCGATAGAATTCCGAGAAATGTTCTTCATTTTGTTTTTATTATTTCACCAACACATTCAACCTTTTCATTGTTCTCTTACTAGCCCAACTTAAAATTTCGTCATAACAGTCATTTGAGATTCAAAAACTATTCAAAAATATCGTAAAACCAAAAAACACGTTTTTAACAAAATAAATGAAAATAGATTATTAATTAAGTTTTAAGGACTTTTTGTTGATCAATATCATAGACAATAATAGAAAGGTAAGTAATAAGTTCGAGGAAAGCCAAAAATACTGAAAAACTTCAATTAAATTGTGATTTTCAAAAATAATATTCACAAATTTTGTTACTTTTCCAATTTTAAGGAAATATAAGCATAAATTTTTTTATATCAAGTAAATTTAGCATCTAAAAGATGTCGCTAGTAATATTAAAATGCATTTTATAACATTCCAGAATGACTGGTCGTGGAAGAGGATTTTTGTTGAAGAAAATTGAAGATGAAAAAGCTGCTGATGAACAATCAGACGTTGGATCATCAATATCTACTTTCCCAATCCTCGGACGTGGTGGTCGTGGTATAAAATTACAAACTCAATCCCTATCGACTCAACAACCTACAACAGAAACAACAACAAGTGACAGTGATTCAAATGTATCGGCATTTCCTTTAATTGGACGTGGTCGTGGAATACTTTCCACATTAGGTCGAGGCACAACATCATCAGAACCAAAATCGTCCGAACCAGATCCAGTAGAACAAGCTAAACAGTATGTCACTGGACAATTTGATGATTTATCATCACCAAAAAAGGTTTCGTCATCTTCTGGTCGTGGACGATCATCTGGTAAGTTATTAATATTTTGATATCAGCTATCAAGTTATTTACAATGCCATTTTAGGTCTGAATACTGATGAGAGAGAATCAGCAAAGTCATTAATTGAAGGCTTTGAAAAAGTCACAATCGAAGCACCAGCAAAACAACCATCACCAGAAAAAGTTGCACCAATTCCATCAATGGAAAAGGAACCAGAAGAAGTTGTCGAGGAATCAGTTTTAACTAAAAAAGGATCAAAAGGAACACCATTCACGGCTTTAACAAACTGCATCATGCTAAAATGTAACAAGGATTTTGGTGTTTTCGAGTACGAAGTTCGTTTCCAGCCAGAAATTGACAACATTCAGCATCGCTACAAGTATCTTGGACAGTTACGAGAACAAATTGGAAGTGTTAAAACATTCGATGGAGTTACACTTTATTTACCAAAACAATTACCTGATCATACAACAACATACACAGCATCAATTGAAGGACAGAACGAAGTTGAAGTCAAAATTATTTATCATCGGAAGAAGCGTTTAGGAGAATGTTTACATTTGTATAATGTCTTATTTGAACGTATTATGAGAGACTTGAAATATCAACGAGTTGGTAAGTTCTACTGGATCTTATGATGATCAACTGGATCTTTATACAAATTGTTTTATCTTTTAACAGGTCGCAAATGCTTCGATCCATCATCACCAAAGGAAATTAAGCAGCACAAGCTTGAAGTCTGGCCAGGCTATGTTAAATCTGTTGAAGAACAAGAAGGTGGAATAATGCTGTTGCTGGATGTTTCTCATCGAGTCTTATCACAAAAGACAGTCTTGGAATACATGAGCGAATGTGTGGAAAAATATCGTCAAAATTATCAGGATATGGTTAAGAAGGCACTCATTGGACATACTGTATTGACTCGATACAACAACAAGACTTATCGTATTGACGATATTGATTTTACAAAGAATCCAACAGCAAAGTTCATGAAGGGAGAAACAGAAATTAATTATTGTGATTATTACAAGCAGCAATATAATAAAATTATAAAGGATATGAAGCAACCGCTTTTAATTCATCGTGAGGATGTTCGAGTTCCTGGTAAGTCCTTATCCTCATTTTTGTCGCAACGATCAGTATTTGATTAGCATATTAGTGCACACAGCACAAATATATTTTGGAAGTTTAACGGGTTTTTGAGATTTAAATATTTTAACGGTTTCTGAAAATTTGAATTCATTAAGAACGTCGCTCAGAATAGTTTGTATGGTTTTCAAATTTGAATCTTAAAAGTTCGTTATTTTTTGACAAATTATAAATCTAATTCCATTCCACAGGCGAGAAAACCAAAAAGGAAATGGTCTTCTGTTTAGTTCCCGAGTTGTGCTACATTACAGGCTTAACAGATGAAATGCGAAGTCAATTTACAATAATGAAGGATTTAGCTGTTTATACAAAACTTGCTCCATTTCAACGAGTTGCTGCTTATAAGCAATATGTCGAAAATATTAACAAGCATCCAGAAGCAAAACAAAAGCTCACAGACTGGGGCTTAACACTCGATTCCGATCCATGTCAAGTAACAGCTCGAGTATTAAACAAGGAAGTTGTTATCTTCGGTCAAAATAAGTCATTTGATATCGCTCCGAATGCAGATTTTTCACGTAATGCTACGTCCTGTGAAGTTTTGGAGCCTGTCAACTTGCAGAATTGGGTTTTGATTTATACTAAGAATGACTCGAAAACTGCTGAGAACTTTGAGAACACAATCATGAAGGTTTGTGGACCAACTGGAATTCGCTGTGCTCCTCGTAAGTTGAATCTGTAATTACATTTACTAATCTTTATTAATAATATTATATCCTGAGTAGCACGACGTAATGAATTGCCAAATGATCGAACCGATACTTATGTTAACAAAATCAAGGATTGTGTAAAGGATAAAAACGTTCAAATTGTCGTAACAATCTTCCCAACTTTACGAGACGATCGATATTCAGCTGTTAAGACGACATTATGTAAAGACAATCCATGTCCATCGCAGTGCATTAACAGTAAGACACTTCGCAATGAAGCCAAGAGTCGATCGATTATTCAAAAGATCTTACTTCAAATGAACTGTAAATTGGGTGGCACATTGTGGGGAATTAAAATTCCATTGAAAAATACTATGATTGTTGGAATTGACACATATCATGAGGCTAATCAGAAGGGAAATGCTGTCGGTGGTTTTGTAGCGAGCATGAATTCCTCATTTACAAAATATAATAGCATTCCAACCATACAAAAGAAGAAGGAAGAGCTGTTGAATGGATTAATTGCTTCAATGGAACGAACATTGCGTAATTATAAGCAAATTAACTCCAACTTGCCTGATCGTATCATTATTTATCGAGACGGTAAGATGTAATTGAAAATTTGTGATGTATTTTTATCGCATTTTTGAAAAAATGTACTGAAGTCACTCGATCAAATTGAAATAAATTATTTTACCAATTTTTTAAAGGCGTTGGCGATGGACAATTGCAACATGTTGAAACATACGAAATCCCGCAATTTAAGGAAGCATGTGAACGAATGTGTCCAGGATATTCACCAAAAATTACATTCATTGTGGTCCAAAAGCGTATAAATCACAAGTTCTTTAAGTTTATCCGTGATAGACCACCCGCAGAAAGCTATGTAAGTATGAATTGCATTGGCAGCATTACTAGTGTGTTTCACGACCACACAAATTGTGGCTAGGTACATTGCATTGATATAGTCTGGCTGAAAATTTTCTTAACTACAAACTTTGAGAAAATAATTGAATATTCTGATTCAATCTTAGGTGAATCCACCACCAGGATCAGTTTTGGATCATACAGTTACACGTCGTAATGCTTATGATTTCTTTTTATGCTCACAAAATGTTCGTGAAGGAACTGTAACACCGAGTCATTTCATTGTCTTGCGTGATGATAATCAGTTCGAGCCAGACATTATTCAACAATTGACATACAAGCTGACTTATTTATACTACAATTGGCCTGGTGCTGTTCGTGTTCCTGCTCCATGTCAGTATGCACATAAGCTGGCTTATCTCGTTGGATTGGCTGTCAAAGGAAAAGTTGATGATTCGCTTACTGACAAACTTTTCTATTTGTAAATTTATAAATGCTTTAAATTAAGGAAAGGAAGCATTTAACAACAAATCAACATATTTAATGGTGTTTGCTATTCAGAAATATTCATTGTTAGAATTAGTTTTAAATTTATATTTTAAGAAAAACAAGAAATTTGCGAACTTGTTGCAACATCTAGAAAATATTAAAATGATGCAACAGAAAAATAACGGTTTAAAAAAATTTGAAAATAACAGTTAAAAAGTATTTCAAAAAATAAAAAAAAATCCATAAACTCGCGATAATTCAATGTAAGAGTGATTCCACAGAAAGACAGTTCTAGACACTCTTACAAAATTATAAAATATCAAGAATTAAATCTTATAAATACAGTAGAGTAATTCTGTTTAAAAAGTTGAAAATGTTGCTCACGAAAGATACATTTCAATTATTATTTCCTATCAACACTCAATAAAATGAAAATATCTCATAAATTAAAGCATAATAGTACATAAAAAATTAGACAGCCAGCAGGACCCGCTTTTGTTTTGAAATCATATTTCTGTCGTCAATCATTTAAAAAAAAATCTTAAATTGTGCAACATTGTTTCTAGAGTTTTCATGTTGTCCAATTTTATCATTAATTAAATCTTTAATATGTTTATATAAGCTCATAATTTTCTAAAAGTAATTGTCTGTGTCTTAAGTCGAATCTGTGGAATCACCTTAACCTATTTTTTCGAGCCCAAAAACAATAAATTGTTAAAATTCTAAATTGAAATGTTTAATTATTTATTGAAATACTATAATTAAAGTACTTAAAAAATATTCAACCAACTTTAAATAAAGTGATAGATCTTAAAAATCAAACAAAAATAAAGATAACCCCAAAAAAATAACTTCATATCGAACACATGATTTAAGAAATCATAAATTTTTCATTGCAGATATTCTTCAATTCCTTTTCAATCGATAATCATGTCATGACTTATATAAGCTAACTGCGATCAACACAAAAAAAAAGTTTATAAAAAGAAAAGGCATAAGAAATACGATTCGCAACAGCATTTGGTGATGAAAACAAGAAAGGCGCAATTTCAACAAGCTAAAAAATAAAAATACATCAAGTAAGGAAAATAATAATAAGTTGAGTTTAAAGCGCATTTTTGGATATTTTGAATTTTAAATTGTTCTCTTATGATCGAGAATGGGCTAAGGTTGGATTTGATGTTGAGCAGCATTCTTATTCGGATATATATATATACTAGACACAGTCGACTTTGATGCATAACAGGTGTTATGTACGCTGATGTTCAAGTATTTTCCAGGTAAGCACTGCTAGTTAACCTAGAAACTAGCCTTAGTACCTTGCTAATTTTGAGCGGTACACATTGCTGTAAATTGAAATCTCCAGAGCAAAATGAAAGAATGGAACGTCCATTCTTCGCCAAAATAAGTGTGAAATGATAACACAGAAAGAAAAGAGGAAAAGAGAATATAAAAAAAATTCATGTGACCAGAATCTTTAAATAATACATTGAAGGATCGAAAATGGCAAGAAAAGAGAATTTTTCTTGTTCCTTTATCTTTAAACATTTCCTTCCATCTTTATAATCTAAAATTAGAATTTCTTTTTCTTCATCTATTTTTTTTTTGCAATGACGATGATGAAGATGATTTATGGCTTGATTGGAGTATAGCATATCATATTATATGATTTCATTCCCTCTTCCTTACGATATTTAAGCATTCTTAGCAAAAACTTTACCTTCACATCTAATATATATATATTTTTTTTTTGAAATTCAATATACATCTCCGGAGCAAGTTTTCAATCTCAAAAAATTATGAAACTATCAGCATTCAATCTAGGGGTTCTAAAATCGGGAATATTCCCGGGAATTCCCGTTTTCATACCAAAAAAACCGACAATTCAAATTAGTTTTTTTTTATTTTGTATTTTCCATGAAAAAACTTGGAAAAAACTACAATTTAAAGAAAAAAATTATAATAATGAAAACACACGTTAAGGAATTTAAGAGTTGAAATATTAAACTGAAATTTGATGTTTTTTAAATCAAAAACATATATTTATGAAAAACGAAGAGAAAAAGTTTTTAAAAATATTTTTTAAATGTATGATGTCCATAAAATAATAAACTTAACTGGCATTGGATTAAAGTAATTTTTCCAAAATTACCAACATCTACAAGAGCTGAACGTAACTTTTCAATCTCCAATAATATTGTCTCAAAAAATCGCAGTAGATTGCTAGACCAGTTAAAATCGTCCTTTAAGAATTGTTCTAAAACCAAAAAGAATTGAATTTCAAACGGAAATTATTGTCAAAAGAATCAATTTGACAATCAAATCGTTTTTTTTTTCAAAATTTTACCGAAACAAGATAATTAAATTCAAAATATCCGTTAAAAATGCTCAATTGTAAATAAATGTAAACAAACGATAGAAATTGACATGAATAGGAGCTGAATACACCCTTAATTAACGACAGAAAATGTGAAATCACAATCAGTCAAAAAAGATCAAATTTCTCAGCAACCTTTGACTTTCGATTTTTTCACAATTTTCTTCAGTTAAATTCTTTGAAGACGTGTTTTTAAATATTGTTTCAAATCGGTGCAAATAAATTGGAACTTGACATTATTAATGCTTAAAAAGAAGTGGAGTTCAAGATAAAAGTGATAGTGAAGTGCTAAAATGGAAGCAACAGTGAAAATAAGCCAAAAGTGATGAAAAAATTAAAAGTGAAGAAAAAAATGAAAAATTTTCTGAGTGAACATTAAAAGTTAAGAAAATTAAATTCAAGAAGCTGCAAAATTGAAGTGAAAGTGAGATTGATGAAGCTTAAAGGAACCAGGACACAATTAAAAAAGCAAGAGGCTAGTGACAACGAAGAAAAAGCTAAGTATACTGATAAATAGGACATTCAAAAGCGACTTTAATTTAATTGATCTAAGTGATCTGAAACACATTCAGATTTTCAAATTCCTTTTCTTTAATGAAACCAGCCATTTGACTTCCTGCAATTGCGTACGTAATGCTTGCAATACGTGAAATGATTACTTAAAAACGCATTGCATTGAGTTTTACATTTCGTCAGCCTTTGTTGATGTAAATTAAGAGTGGGAGTCGTTGAATAGGTCAGAGGGGGGTCGATGCAAGATGAGGAGGGGTAAAACTTGAGGGAGCAAAGTCTTTTGACCCTTTTTTAAAAAGTTTTTCTGTTCTTTTTTTTTTTTTTGTAAATCGAGCCTATGTGTCATGTGTTTCTGCCTGTGAGACCTACTATCGTGGCTATTGATTGGTTCATCCTTGATGTAGAGTGGCATCAAGGACATTGATTGCTTGCTCGTAAAAGAGACTTGCAATTTTTTGTCTAGATGCCTGTTCTCACACACAGCATTAGACTTACATCAGGTCCAATGACGTATCGTGTAGTTTAATGTGAAAAATGAGCCTCTGATGATTTGGGTTGTAATCAATAGAAGCTTAATTACAAGCGTCTAACTCTAACCCTAAATTGTGGTTCTTTTTCATGCTCAGGTGTGTGGTAAAGAACGTTTTTGCCTCTATCTCGGACTGTTCTGATTCAAAGCCTGAAATGTGAGCAGTAATGGAATGAAAACACGATTGATTCATTTCCTTGGTTGAAATTAAACTTGATATGATTAACTATGAAAGAAGAACCATCAAAAAATTTGCTTTCTCAGTTTAATCTTTCCTTTATCTTGCATCAGCTTCTCTCTTACCTGTCCATCGAGTTCCATCATTAATTTACATCGAGAAAGAGCAAACGCAACGTAGAACTTAATGTTGTGTGATTTTACTTAATCATTTTACGTAACGTAGGCTTTACGTGAGCCTTTTTGAAAGTTTTTCTGACTAATTTCCAACAGAGAAAGTGAATTTGATATCAAGAAACTTTAATTTAAACAGCAAATCTTAATTAAGAATTAAATTTATTTTTATTTTACTAATTCGTTTTTAAAATTGCCATATATTTTAGGTTCTTTAAGGATCAGCACTTATAGCCATCATAAAACATTTCATATGTTGTGTTGTTTTCTTCACATTTGAACAATTACTCATCGTTCACACACAAGTAAGCACATAGATTGACATTATTAATGCTTAAAAAGAAGTGGAGTTCAAGATAAAAGTGATAGTGAAATGCTAAAATGGAAGCAACAGTGAAAATAAGCCAAAAGTGATGAAAAAATGAAAAGTGAAGAAAAAAATGAAAAATTTTCTGAGTGAACATTGAAAGTTAAGAAAATTAAATTCAAGAAGCTGTAAAATTGAAGTGAAAGTGAGATTGATGAAGCTTGAAGGAACCAGGACACAATTAAAGAAGCAAGAGGCTAGTGACAACGAAGAAAAAGCTAAGTATACTGATAAATAGGACATTCAAGGGCGACTTTAATTTAATTGATTTAAGTGATCTGAAACACATTCAGATTTTCAAATTCCTTTTCTTTAATGAAACCAGCCATTTGACTTCCTGCAATTGCGTACGTAATGCTTGCAATACGTGAAATGATTACTTAAAAACGCATTGCATTGAGTTTTACATTTCGTCAGCCTTTGTTGATGTAAATTAAGAGTGGGAGTCGTTGAATAGGTCAGAGGGGGGTCGATGCAAGATGAGGAGGGGTAAAACTTGAGGGAGCAAAGTCTTTTGACCCTTTTTTTAAATAGTTTTTCTGTTCTTTTTTTTTTGTAAATCGAGCCTATGAGTCATGTGTTTCTGCCTGTGAGACTTACTATCGTGGCTATTGATTGGTTCATCCTTGATGTAGAGTGGCATCAAGGACATTGATTGCTTGCTCGTAAAAGAGACTTGCAATTTTTTGTCTAGATGCCTGTTCTCACACACAGCATTAGACTTACATCAGGTCCAATGACGTATCGTGTAGTTTAATGTGAAAAATGAGCCTCTGATGATTTGGGTTGTAATCAATAAAAGCTTAATTACAAGCGTCTAACCCTAACCCTAAATTGTGGTTCTTTTTCATGCTCAGGTGTGTGGTAAAGAACGTTTTTGCCTCTATCGCGGACTGTTCTGATTCAAAGCCTGAAATGTGAGCAGTAGTGGAATGAAAACACGATTGATTCATTTCCTTGGTTGAAATTAAACTTGATATGATTAACTATGAAAGAAGAAGCATCAAAAAATTTGCTTTCTCAGTTTAATCCCTCCTTCATCTTGCATCAGCTTCTCTCTTACCTGTCCATCGACTTCCATCTTTAACTTACATCGAGAAAGAGCGAACGGAACATAGTACTTAATGTTATGTGATTTTACTAAATCATTTTACGTAACGTAGGCTTTACGTGAGCCTTTTTGAAAGTTTTTCTGACTAATTTCCAACAGAGAAAGTGAATTTGATATCATGAAACTTTAATTTAAACAGCAAATCTTAATTAAGAATTAAATTTATTTTTATTTTAGGTTCTTTAAGGATCAGCACTTATAGCCATCATAAAACATTTCATATGTTGTGTTGTTTTCTTCACATTTGAACAATTACTCATCGTTCACACACAAGTAAGCACATAGATTGACATTATTAATGCTTAAAAAGAAGTGGAGTTCAAGATAAAAGTGATAGTGAAGTGCTAAAATGGAAGCAACAGTGAAAATAAGCCAAAAGTGATGAAAAAATTAAAAGTGAAGAAAAAAATGAAAAATTTTCTGAGTGAACATTGAAAGTTAAGAAAATTAAATTCAAGAAGCTGCAAAATTGAAGTGAAAGTGAGATTGATGAAGCTTGAAGGAACCAGGACACAATTAAAGAAGCAAGAGGCTAATGACAACGAAGAAAAAGCTAAGTATACTGATAAATAGTCCTCAAATTCCTTTTCTTTAATGAAACCAGCCATTTGACTTCCTGCAATTGCGTACGTAATGCTTGCAATACGTGAAATGATTACTTAAAAACGCATTGCATTGAGTTTTACATTTCGTCAGCCTTTGTTGATGTAAATTAAGAGTGGGAGTCGTTGAATAGGTCAGAGGGGGGTCGATGCAAGATGAGGAGGGGTAAAACTTGAGGGAGCAAAGTCTTTTGACCCTTTTTTAAAAAGTTTTTCTGTTCTTTTTTTTTTTGTAAATCGAGCCTATGAGTCATGTGTTTTTGCCTGTGAGACTTAATATCGTGGCTATTGATTGGTTCATCCTTGATGTAGAGTGGCATCAAGGACATTGATTGCTTGCTCGTAAAAGAGACTTGCAATTTTTTGTCTAGATGCCTGTTCTCACACACAGCATTAGACTTACATCAGGTCCAATGACGTATCGTGTAGTTTAATGTGAAAAATGAGCCTCTGATGATTTGGGTTGTAATCAATAAAAGCTTAATTACAAGCGTCTAACCCTAACCTTAAATTGTGGTTCTTTTTCATGCTCAGGTGTGTGGTAAAGAACGTTTTTGCCTCTATCTCGGACTGTTCTGATTCAAAGCCTGAAATGTGAGCAGTAATGGAATGAAAACACGATTGATTCATTTCCTTGGTTGAAATTAAACTTGATATGATTAACTATGAAAGAAGAACTATCAAAAAATTTGCTTTCTCAGTTTAATCCCTCCTTCATCTTGCATCAGCTTCTCTCTTACCTGTCTACGACTTCCATCTTTAACTTACATCGAGAAAAAACGAACGGAACATAGTACTTAATGTTATGTGATTTTACTTAATCATTTTACGTAACGTAGGCTTTACGTGAGCCTTTTTGAAAGTTTTTCTGACTAATTTCCAACAGAGAAAGTGAATTTGATATCATGAAACTTTAATTTAAACAGCAAATCTTAATTAAGAATTAAATTTATTTTTATTTTACTAATTCGTTTTTAAAATTGCCATATATTTTAGGTTCTTTAAGGATCAGCACTTATAGCCATCATAAAACATTTCATATGTTGTGTTATTTTCTTCACATTTGAACAATTACTCATCGTTCACACACAAGTAAGCACATAGTACGAATATTTGAAACAAATTGGATTTATTTAGACTTTTTTAACTGACAAACTACAGAAGAATTGTCTTGACGATTTCTTATTGTCTTGACGATGTCTTATTGTTATTCCTGAATTTCCAGGAACGGGAATCCTGTTCCCGTTTCCCAAAAATCTGTCGGGAATATTCCCGAAATTCCCGTTTTCATATCAAAAAAAACCAACAATTTAAATTAGTTTTTTTTTTTTATTTTGTATTTTTCATGAAAAAAACTACAATTTAAAGAAAAAAATTACAATAATGAAAATATACGTTAAGGAATTAAAGAGTTAAAATATTAAACTGAAATTTGATGTTTTTTAAATCAAAAACATATATTTATGAAAAACGAAGAGAAAAAGTATTTAAAAATATTTTTTAAATGTATGATGTCCATAAAATAATAAACTTAATTGACATTGGATTAAAGTAATTTTTCCAAAATAAAAAAAACGTGCTGGAAATTAATATTTCTGGAATCCACCAACATCTACAAGAGCTGAACGTTACTTTTCAATCTCCAATAATATTGTCTCAAAAAATCGCACTAGAATGCTAGACCAGTTAAAATCGTACTTTAAGAATTGTTCTAAAACCAAAAAGAATTGAATTTCAAACGGAAATTATTGTCAAAAGAATCAATTTGACAATCAAAACAAATAGAATTTAAATTTGATTTAAAAACCTAAAGAAAATACATGGTGTAAGTGTAGCTTTTAACTTTTTTTTGTTGATTCCCGGGAATATTCCCGTTCCCGTTCCCGATTCCCGAAATTTTACGGGAACGGGAATTCTGGAACCCCTATTTCAATCAAAGTTTAATTTCTTCTATTTCAAAGTCATTCATGTTAGCTATATCGTATGACTTTCTGTGTTAGAAAAAGTTTTTTGATTGCAACAGCATGTGCACTGATTGTAATATAGACGATATTAATGAGAAACTTTTTTGACGGTACCGAATGAGAAATGCGTGTCGTGTCTCATTTTCCATAAGTATATAGAGGATGTATGCTCTAGGGTGGATATTATATGGAAACATATTGTCAAGATGAATGAATAAGCATGCAAGAATAAAATGCTGTCTCGTATATTTTTATTAAAGAATATGAGCAAATAATTTGATGAAATGTCCAACACTTAAATGATAAATTGTGATATGATTTGCTAGGGACACATGAAATAAAATAAAAAAAAGGTTTTTCGTCTACTCTTTCCATAGATTTATATTTAGCTGCAGGAGTAAAATGAAAGGGTCATGAGGTCAAATTATTTTATTCAGCCAATATTGCTTGCTATGTGTCATAAAATGAGAATAAATTTTGTCACTAGATGATGACGAAAAACTCATATCTATCAAACTGAACTTCCTTTTGCTATTATTTTGAGGGGAATTAGTTGATGTTCAGTAGCGTCAAATCATAGTGCTTGCTTTTGTTTAGGAAATCTTAAAAAATTATGTTTAATTCTAATGTTTGATTGATATCCATAACTTTCACATCTTTAGATTTACATGATTGATAAAATAGCAGCGTAATGGGGAAGATAGGGACTTAATATAGCAATTTCAGTGTTACAAATTTTACGAACCACCTTAAAAGGTTGAATGAACAATTTCTTCTTACAATCATTGCCTTTTTGTGTACAGAATTTGTAATAAACTTTCAACTAACAAATGTCATTTTCATAACATCTTTCTTCTTTTACAGAAACGAAGGAAATTGAACCAATGTGACAATTAGCAATAATGGTAGTTTTAGAAATCCTTATATCCTACAACATATGTAACAGATATTGATCCAATAAATTAAAGAAGGATAAACTTTATCTTTATATTGTTGAACAAAATATAAAGTTTGAATTGGAAACAAGCAGATGAATATTGAGATAAAAAGTTTGATGTTGTATAATTGAGGTAAGTGATGATTTGAGTTATATTATTGTATACAAGGTGATGCTCACCACTATACTACCGAGGAAAATAGAAATATTTTAAATTTAACTTTAATTGCTAGAGGAGATCAGCTTTTCGTAAAATCATTACTTCAAGCTTTTTTCTTCACGTTTATTTGATTAATTAAAGCTAGCAAGTTTTCTTTTTGAAATTTAGAAGTTTATTATACTAGACGGCACTTTTTGTTTTGTCCAAGTACAGTTTCCTATTTTGCAATTCTTTGAGCAGCTTCAGTTTTACAAACCAAAGCACCACACAATATCAAAGTTAATATCAGATTCTACATCAATATTCATTTAACATCTATTAAGTATTTATCTTTTTTTTCTGGTTTCAATTTTAAACTTTTATTTTTATCGAAATCAGTTTCTGACAATTATTTTTTTTAAAAGTAAGCAAATGTTCACCACAAAATGACCATCGGCAAAATTTGTGATAAATTGGATTTGATATGCAAAAGAAAGGAATAAAAAGGGAAATGTTTAGGTGTATGAAATCATATACATGCAAACTTATGAACGATATATTGCTAAACTACATAGATGTAAAATATGAAATAAGAAAAATTATGGAAATTCAAAACTTTTTCTAAGTAGATTTCTTTATTTTTCATCTTTTTTTCCTCCAGAAATATCTTTCCCAATTCATAAAATATTCATTGGATATGCATTATGACAAATTTGATCGTTCATGCAGAGATATTTTAGGGATTGAAAAATATTTGAAATATGTGAATAATTTTCTAAGAGGGATTTTTTTTACGAGAATGTCATTTTCATCATAACAATAAACTTGAATAATAGTCAACTACTTCCATCCACTAAATGTCAGCCTCGTAAATTCATCCATGAAGCTACTTATCGCTCATTATTTTCAAAGCACGCCGTCTCTTAATGCCAACTTAAGTGGCGATTCTTGTTTATTGAAATATTGTTATTGCTTAATGTATCAACACAATTCACGTAAATTTTCACAATTAACATGCATATTACTGACATTCATTCTGTGATTTGCAAGTCATTTAAATTTTTTTACGTAAATTGTTTTGTATATATTAAATCTCAACAACTTTTATGACGCATTTCAAAAGAAATGAGTATGATTGTCAATTTGTCTGTTTACTATTTGATAATTTAGGGGAGAGATGGGGCTAAGTACTATCCTGGTTCCAACCAAGGGTACAGACAAAATAAAAATGATCAAATTATGAATTGAACTAAAGATATTTGAAAATAACACTATCTTACCCCCATAAATGTTAACAACACCTTAAGAAGTTAAAAAAAGCGCTATGCTACCTTACAATTGACCATGTTTATGTTATTAAATGTCTTAAATTGATAATCTTCACGTTTGACATTGAATAATTGCACTTTTCGTTCTGTTTTTAAAAATTGTGCTTTCGCTACTGACATTGAAGTTATGCATGACGAAAAATAAATATTTAAACTTGTACAGTTATTTCTGGGAATTCATAAAATTTTATTATTCATTTATTTAAAACATTTACAGTACTTATTGAAAATATTGTTTAATCCTGTTGCATTTCGAATGAGTTTAAACTTCGAAAATCCTTAGTCACAACTGTTGGTGTTGCTAATTTCCATAAACTGGTCAAATGTTATACATTCAATCGTTGAATTCCATTCGCATCTATTTGTCCAAGGATTAAAACGGGTCTCTTTAGCATCCGCACATGTCATTGCAATTAAGCCTCCGTTCGCACTGCATTGGTAGAATTTCCTACAATCAGTTGCATGTGGCACTGAAAATGAGAATAATTTAAATGTTTAAAATTGTCTACAAAAAGAATTGTTTAACACACAATTAAGTGTTGTCCAGTTTGCGCCAATTTTTTGTGCATATTCAACGCAGTTGAAATCAGGCACAGAATTCGGAAGAGCACTGCCATTTACAGACATTCCAAATGCTTGCAAAATCAACAAACAATTAAAAAGAATTCTCAAAACAACTTTCACTGCCATTGTTTTTTCTACGTTCTTGTCGTGTGGTATTAATTGTCGAAAAGTGGAATTTAAAGTGACTAGCAATGTTGCAATTTTTGTTGATTTTTATTTAGTTTTGAAATTTTTGCTATCAAATTAAATGAAATAAATTAAAAACAAGTGAAAAAATTTGTTGACAGTTTAATCAAGGAAATGACAATGCTACTAGACATGTTGCATAATTTGAACATTATGATGAACTTTTTTGACATAATTCTATTAAATTGCAATTTTATTGAGCCTAAAATTTAAATTATTTGTTTTTGTTTTTAATAGAAATCAGTCGAGTGAATTAAGACGGCAAATGTTAAGTAAATTATAGTTAAAGACATGATAAGGTTTTAAAAATTTAAAATCGTCAAGAAACTTAAAATTAAACAAATTTTAAAAAATGCGCTTGTAAATCGATTAATAATCCAAATAAAAAATTCCCTATAAACCAAGAATTATTCCTTAATAAAAAAATTTGTGGTATAATAAAAAGTTGAAAAGGGAGAAGAAAATGCTGAATTCACTGAAAAAATGCGGAAGAAGGAGGCAAAGAAAGAAAAAAATATTTTTATGCACATTCTCAATTCAGCAAAGCAAGAAAAGAAATAAATAAAAAAAATATTCAGATGGACTTCAGAATAAAAAAATAATAATAAAATGTCGAGTGATGTACACACGCACAAAGACACGCATTTACAAATCGAAAGGGGTTGATTTATAACATATTTCAATATTGAAAAAGCCATTTCAAGAAGACATTTATTTGCTTGGTATCCCATCCTTCGATATGTATGTGTCTGAAAGGGATACGCGTCATTGAGGAAGAATTATTTATAGCTTTAAGAATATTTTCTTTTTCCTATACGCACATATGGAGATGCCACATTCTGAATATACTGGAGAAATATTGATAACACGATGCGAGAGGGCAGAAAAAAAAAATTTGGAATAATGCGTTGTCAACAAATTCTATGGCTGTATATGCTAATTTTATGACTTTCTTTTAACCAAAAAATTCTTCACACACTCTGTATGTGTCTTATATGATGTGTAAGTCGGTAGTGATAGAAAATGAAAAGGATGTTCAACCATACAAAAGTGATTTATTTCTCATTCAAGATGCGAATTTTTTATTTGGTTGTTTTTATTAAGAAATTAGTTCGTGTGGGTTCATTGCAATCTAAGAGTTTATCTTTGAAGAGTCATTCACTTTTGAAGTCTATCATTCAGAAAAGGATCATGGTTTAATATTGGGGGTCTTAGATTTGAATAAGATTTTTTTGGAACAAAATACCTGCTCAAATCAAGGGCCCTCAGTATCTAAGGGTTTTCAAAAATTTGAAGAAAGCAAACTTACTCTTTAGACAAAACACTGAGGGGGGGATTGGTGGTGGGTTAGTAGAGTTTCTGCACAGCTACGTTAGGGCGTTTTGTAGCTAATAAGAGTTTAAAGCTGTGTTTAAAGAGAGAATCCAGAGGACTGCATTTAAGCCTAACCCTACATTTTATGGCATTTGATGGCATTTTTGCATGTGAGGCTTTGATCTTCAGTGTCAGTCCAAATGATTTGAAAAAGAACAATCAAAAAACTTCTCATGGCGTTGCTACATCGAAATCCTAAATCATTTCCTTACTAAGCCACCTCAGCTCATTAACCTAATTAATAAAGAGCTTGCTTTGTTATTGATAATAGCAAGTTAATCTAGCTCCATTCTAGATCTTCATATAATAGGGTTCATTATTAATTAAACTCCATTTTTAAGGACTAAATTAATAAAATTCATTGAATTATGTTCCGGTTATGTAAGACTATTTTCAAAATTTATTAAAATCCATCAACAACAACAACTAATGCATTTTTCACGTTAAATGAATCCGGAACAGTCTATTGCATAACAATAAACCTTTATGAGTCTCATATTTAACCTCAAATTTTCTTCTTTAATTTTAATTAATTCATTGCACATTCAATTTACTTGCAGACTCGAAACTCATCAAGCGAAAAGAAACAACAAAAAAATTTCAGAAAGGATGAAAAGGAACAAGAGGAAAATTCCCTCGGGAAATCAAATCAAACGTGAAAAAGAAGACGAAAAAAAAATTCCATTGGCAATTAAATCAAGGAAGAAGGGAAACATCGCGTCTTAATGGTAAGGCATTAAAAACTGTTATGAAATTAATTGAAGCTTGTGATAATATAATGCGAAGCTATTAAGTATAAAACGTATATAATATTGACGAGTTTTATAATCTCGCCTACCTTCGAATTATTATTTCCCTGTTGCTTCTGGTAAAAGAACGAAGAAAAGTCCCTCTTTTCTTTTGCTAATGAATTTATGAAGGTATGGGAATTATGCTGAAGGATAAAGAGAATGAAACAAAAAAAAAAGTTTTGGTTCTTTAAGGATGGTGAGTCATTAAGTCCTTTATTTTCAAATAAAGTTTTTTTTTTTGCTTTTTTAGTTCTCATTATTTTAAAACCTTTCGGGTACTTCCTTATGGATATTAAGTAGAACAACCTTTAAAATGTTTGAAGTTAAAAGCTGTCTTTTTTTGGGTTCTTTTTTTAAGGAACATATTCTTTAAGGTAAATGAAAGTGATGACGACAATGTTGCGGATTACAATACTTCTTTCGTATAATTACATCTGATACCTTTAATTAAAGGAAAATTGTATTAACAGCTTGAAATGTCTTTAATTAGAATTTTAAATTCGTTGAATAAGTTTAAGGATATTTTTCTGGTTTTCATAGGTTTTCCATAAATTGTGGGAAAAAGATTAAACTTTTCAAATCAAGGTTTCATAGTCAGAGGAGGTATGGGAAAACACTCTTGGTTAAGACTGGTTAAGATACAGACAAAATAGGATCAAGGTTCCAGAGCTTAAAAATCTAGTTCTGATCATTTTGATCAGTTTTACAATCTTGGGTAGTATTTCGAACTTCAACAACTGTCTTTAAAAGAATTAGGCATGGAAATGCATTTGTCTTTGGTTCAATTGATTTTCATTGATAATTACCAAAATCAATCCTACAAAATTTCCTGCTAGATAAAATTCAAATCAACAATAATTTGCGTAACCGGAAAAGCAAAATATAACTTTTTCCAAAAATACATCATCACACCATCCACATACGTCAATGGGTCGAAATTTGATACACACATCTATGTAACTAGACTAGTGACGTAAATTCGTCAATTTAATATATTCAACTAAGGTCTATCATTTTCCTGCAAATAAAACCAAACAAATACTTAACTTATCGGCAAACATTTTTCCAAGTTCACCTTAAATACTTGAATGCTCGGCTATTATGCATGAAGTTCTCCTTAAATATTTATTTATTCAACATATTATTCACATTACTTCATAAATTAATTCAGACAGAAAAAATAAGTAAAGAAGTAGAAAATATCAATCAATCTAAATTAAGTAAACTCAACACCAGACCAAAAGAAGAAAAAGGGAATGAAATTTAAGGAAGGAAAAGGAAGGTATAAATTGGAATCGAAATATTAAAAAAATAAACTTTTTTTCTGAACTCTCGAAAAACAAATTCTAAACTTTTTTGTTAGCACACAGCAATAACAATATTGTGAATAATAAGCAAGAAAGTTCTTTTAACTTATTTACATCCTCTATAATCAACGCAAAGTAAAGTCGAAAAAAAAGTGAGAGAAAAACGATAAATGTAAAGTAAACATTTGTGTAACGAGCAAAATTGTTGTGACGAGCGCGCCAAAAATATATTCAGCAATGTTTTGTTGAGGAGAGGTGAATTTATGATTGTAAAGCCTGATATTAAAATATTTTTGTTTCTTTAAACTTTTATTCAAATTTTTTTGTTCACAATTTTGTTTTAAAATTTAAAAATTCCAACTAATTTTGAACTTAAAGTCTTAACCTAAGAAATGATTATTTTAAATTTTATAAACAATAAACATTTAAAATTCCAATTCCAGTAAAGTCAACAACCTCAAACACAAAACAATTGCGCCATTTTTTTCGTCCCATTCATTCCATACGACATTTCACTTTGTTTACGTCCACAAAAATTTCATTCTTTTTCATCATTTTCTCATTCTTTTCTTCATTATATCGTCGCTGTTGAATCGGGAATGTGTTATGATCGAGTGCCTGTTATTGACAGCAGTGTTATTATTTGTCATAATATTATGTTGATGAACTCAAGCATAATCGAATATGGTCGAATGAGTGAAGAAGAATAGAAGAAATAATAAAAATTCTCAGGAAATTAAACACTTTAATTGGACATTCGTAATGATACGAATATGCTTGGTTATTGATTAATGAGTGAGCAATTTGTGGGAAAACAAAACAAAATCTTTTTTTTTCCGTATGTTCTGGAATAAAATTATGGTTATGTTAGTTTTGGCTAATTTAATGTTCATGTGTTGGTTTGTTTAGATGTTTTATGAACTAGTTATTGTTTTTTTACGTATTGAAAGCACTGAATGGCAAACTACTTTATGAATTAAATATTTAAAGAATTTGTTTATGATAAATAGAAAAATATTCTGAACTTTTTGGCTAACCGTGAAACCGTTAAAATAGTTCATTGACATGAGTAAAAACATTTTTAGTTGTAAACAAAGCAGATTTATATTTTAAGCAGTAAAATACAGTTTTGCGACTTGGAGTTTACTTATTTTACTGGCCGTACATATCAATTGTGATCTAATCTTTTAAAGTAACTTTAAAAATCAAAGAACCGGATCTGTGCTTGATAATACAAGGAAGATTAAGGTCAGATCTAGATTTATGTGGATTAGAGAAAGGGATTTTAAATTGTTTTTGCTTTTTAGATCTATTATGATCCAGAGCATCGCCAAAGCGATTTCCGGAAAGTAAATGACAGAAAAAAGTCACGGTGTTCTTTCAAAGTTTGGCAACTAATAAAAATATAACGATTGAGGTTTAACTGAAACACTGCAAACTTCCGAACCACCTCTTTGATGACAATTTTGCTCAAGGGTGCGTAACTGATAAATT